TATATATATATATATATGTATGTTTAAAAGTACTTAAGGACATATAGTATTGTAAAGGAAGAATTACTTTTGGCCTGTGTAGTTCTGTTCTCCTTCACTTTTATTTCTTCTTCCTTTTTTATCACCATCTTTGTTTTTTATTTCATTGAGATGGTTGAGATCCAATCTTATTGATCTGTAATCAAGCTAAAAGGGTAAAACTTGAAGAAAACTTGAAATCAGGGCGTCATAAACGGAGTGCAATAAAGAAAATAAAAAGGGTGCTATGGAGGTCCTCCACATAGCTTGCAGCTGATTGTAATGTACAGTATAATTGTTCTACTCTTACTAATAAAAATATATATGACGGTAAAGCACTGGTATTTTAGTTTGATTATGTATCAGATCTCCTGTGATTCTGAGTACTGAATGTAGCTAAGTCACTGGAAACCATTCAAAGAATGACTGCCTTACTCTACTACTGTCCACAGGAGATTACTGTGGGTGTGGCGTTTTGGTCCATCTCTCCTCGGCCCTCACTCACATAATAAAGACCCCCACTTGAAAGGCCAGAAGCCCAGCAGGGGACATGGGTCAGTGTTATGCTGCCTGTCAACAAAACCTGCTGTGTGTCTTCAGTGCAGCAGTCAGAGAGAGAGAAAAACTCGATGCAATGCTTTTTCCCACTTTTGGGTATTCATTAAAGGTGTTCATTTCAAATGTTTGACTTGTAATAAAGTGGTGTTTCGTCCAGAAGGGACACTCCTGCTGTGAGTTTGTTTGGTTGCTATTTGCAGTGAGATTGCTGTGTGTACATGTATGCACCTATGAGCTGTTCAGGACGGTCTGCATTAAAACATTTGAACAAATTCATTCTCTTTGAATGGACGAAAAAGGCTTTCCTGCTGATTTGTGAGACACTGCCATTCATCACCACCAGATGGCCCAGTTTGTCCAAAGTTAATTTCTGCTATTTCCTTTGTGGTTACAGCATGGATGATTACAAACATCCAATGTTTGCTAAACTTTTCTTTTGGCCTGTCCGACAGTGTAGCAGTTGTTGTCTGAAGGCCAAAAAATGCCACACAGATTTACTTTCCCACGTGGACCATTACCGTATTTGCTATAATGGTCCACTTGATAGTTATGTTTCATTAGAATTTTATCAGGATTTTTAATTTTGAGTTATTATAATGACAATGGACAAGACTGAACAGAAAAGAAAACAAAGAAAGAAGTTGGGAAGAAAGAAAGAGGGAGAGAAAGGGACAGAGAAAAAAAACACATCAACAACAGAAGTGGGACAAAACCACCTCTTTGCCAACAGGCTACACTACATGTCAGGATGGTTAAAACATACCCTTTTAGAAAAGCCCGGGCCAAATTAAGTAATTCACTTGTATTTGTTGATGAGTGTTCCTTTTATGAAACCAGTCTGGCCAGGCCGTATTATGAGGTGGGTTATCTTCTCTAATCTTTTAGAGTTTTGTGACGTCAGTAGCCAATACAGTGTGACACCCAAAAAGCATTGTTGGCTTCATGTTGAGATTTACTGGCACAGAGCACAGAGAATTATTTAACACGATTACCTAAACTTTTGTTATTTTTTTTAAAGCTGCTGGCAACCCAAAACGTCCGCTATGCTGAAGCTTTATGCAGCTACAATGTGTCGTCTTAGTTTATTTGTATAGTGACAAAAAAAGAAGAAGCTTGGCAAAGAATAAGGCTATGTGAGATTTTAAACTTTGAACTGTTTTGAGTTTGAGGTTCATAAATCAGACGCTGATGCTATAGTGGTGTAAACCTTTATATGGCCCGCGCATGTCAAACCTCTTTTATCTTGTGGGCCCAGAGAGCGCACTTTGAGCTTGGACCAGTGAAACTCCCCTTTCTATCATTCAATTACACGTTTATTCCCTGGGAAGGATTAATGTGAGGGGAAAAGGTGCATTTACGACAGTATTTCTTCGTTTTTCAACATGATAAATGGATTATATTACATAAAAGTTTAGGTTTCATTGCCTAGACAAATGTTTTAGTGCATATCTGTATGGTAGGTGGTGAAAAACAGGAATCTTGTTTTTGTATGGTATGGGCCGTCATGTGGGAGGTCTTTAACAATAAGAAAAACTGTAAAAGCTGTGAAATTATAGATAAAACTTTTATATCCTCCTTCACATTTTCCAAAGCCTTTCAAACCGTAGTCTTTGCTGGGCTGATTCTGGTACCCGGGGCTTTTGTTAGACATCCCCGATCATGACTTTTAATTCTATACCAGGGTTAGGCCACTCCAGGCCTCGAGGCCACAGTCCTCGATCCTGCAGATTTGAAATCTCACCATGGGTAAACACACCTGAATCAGATGATTAGTTCATTATCAGGCCTCTGGAGAACTTCAAGAGATGTTGAGGAGGTCATTTAGCCATTTGAATCAGCTGTATTGGATCAAGGACACATCTAAAACCCGCAGGACACCGACATTCGAGGCCTGGAGTTGCCCACCCCTGTTCTATACCTTCGACATATATGTGATGCACTGGTCACATTTTTCAGACTCGCTTTCAACCACTAGATGCCAGTACTGTTTGTCACTTAGTATACATTGTTGTTGCAAATCACTTAATGGCACATGTATACATACATACATATGGAATAAGTAAAATGTGGGATATCACATAATAATAATAATAATCCTCATTTATAACAGATGTATAAAATATTAAAACTTTTGCTTGTTTTTTGTAATTGTGGCTGAAACAGTTTGAAAAATATTTTAATCACAATGGAACTAACCCCGGCACTGTTTTTATACACCAACTGTGAAGATTTCAGTTGAAGGAGCAACTACAGACTGATGATCTGGAAGGGATCTGTCAGAGCTAGAATTAGGAAAACACAGTACAGGTATTACGATAAAAAAGAGAACACAAAGCAGTTGACCCACAGTCCATCAAAGCCTCATCAGGCGAGTCATATTAATTTTTTAAACTAACAAATATTAAAACTTCGGATATTTCCTCCCTCTGTATATATTTGTTTTATGATATGAGTCGGCACTACTCATATACTCCTATACCTCTATTAATATACTTACAATATGATAAACTGACTCTGTGTGAGGCCAGTGTGATCACAAATTAAATCAATATTTGATTACGTGTGTGTGAAAGTGTCGCTGTGATCAGACCCAGCGAAGCTGCTCGATGAGTTGTTCTTCTGGATTTAACAGCCCCGGTCATTCAGCTGTTTGTGGGGGTCTGTGTGGTGCAGCAGAGGATAGGTCCCCCTGTCCACCAAGTTGGATGCCTCAGCTTTGTGAGGGTCCTGTCTATAAATACCCCTGACTTGCGTAGTGGCTGACAGCCACAGACAGCTGCAGCCACAAGCCATCCAACTACACGAGACTATTCAGGGCAAACTGAGCCACCCTGTGCACTGAAAGTCCCGCTCTGTTGTGGGGAGAGTGTAGGGAGCCCACGAAACCCAACCCGCACACGGCAACAGAACAAAATGTCTGCCATGACTATAGATCCAGTGGCGCAACCTCGGATGTACCAGCAGACCTTGCTTCAGGATGGACTGTGTGACCTCTTAGAAAATGACAGATTTGTGGATTGTGTCCTCAAAATCCAGGACAAGGAGTTCCCCTGCCACCGCTTGGTTCTGGCAGCTAGCAGCCCCTTCTTCAAGGCTATGTTCCTGTCTGACTTGGAGGAGAGCAAGAAGAAGGAGGTTGTCCTCAAAAATGTGGAGCCTGGGGTTATGGAGATGATCCTGCGGTACTTGTATACATCTGACATTAATCTGACAGAACAGAATGTCCAAGATATATTCATGGTCGCCAACATGTACCAGATCCCCTCCATCTTCTCTGTGTGTGTGTCCTATCTCCAAGAAAAGTTGGTGCTCGGGAATTGCTTGGCTATCTTCAGACTGGGGCTGCTTCTGGATAGTCCCAAGCTTGCTCTTGCCGCGAGAGACTTCATCTGCGAGCGCTACCAGGTTGTTGTCAGGGACCAAGACTTTCTGCAGCTAGCTCCCAGCGAGGTGGCCATCATCATCACCTCAGACGCCCTTAATGTTGAGCGGGAGGAGCAGGTGTTTGAATCCCTGATGGACTGGGTCAAGCATGACGAGACCAATCGGGTCAAAGATCTGCCCGAACTGTTGCACTGTGTTCGCTTCAGACTCATGTCTTTGGATTACTTCAAAGAAAAAGTGGAGCGTCACCAGTACATCCGCTTCAGTCAGGACATCAAGAAGGAGCTGGATCTCGTCAGGGACGCTCACAGAGGGCGGCTCCCTAAGCCGAAGAAGCCTGCAACAGATGGGGCAAAGGGGGGTGAAGGCAGTGAGGATGAGGAAGATGATGAGGACAGTTACCTGCCAGGCATACTCAACAACAATCCTCGTTTTGGGATGTTTGAAATGGACCTCATACTTATGATCAGCGACACAGGGACTGTGGCCTACGACCCGGCAGGAAACGAGTGCTTTGTTGTGTCAGAATCCACTGAAATTCCCAAGAATCACTGCAGCCTGGTGACAAGAGAGAACCAAGTGTTTGTTGTGGGAGGACTTCTCTACAATGAAGAGGACAAAGATGAACCATTCAGCTCCTACTTCCTGCAGGTAGTGTGTAATCTATGAAAACCATTTGTAGCTCTTTACAACCTGAACTCTGACGATGGCTCTTTTTCAAATCTTAAGCTATTTTAAAAATATTTCTGGATTCTTTTGTATTTAATTCCTCTCACATCACTTTTATTTATCCCCAGTTTGACCCAGTCAGTTCAGACTGGTTAGGGATGCCTCCACAACCCAACCCACGCTGTCTGTTTGGCCTGACTGAAGCTGAAAACTCAATCTTTGTTGTTGGAGGAAAGGAACTGAAGGACGGCGAGCACGCACTGAGCTCAGTCATGATCTATGACAGACAGTAAGTTTAATATGCTCTAGTGCAATGGAAAATGCACATCTTATCTAAATTATGGCCATCTCTCTTGGAAATATAATTGCATACGATAGTAAATACAATTTGTTTAAACTTTGACCTTAAAATTCAAAATCATCAAGTCCGGAAATGTGTGTTTTCCTTATAAAAGGAACAAAACAGCAACTCCCAAGCCTCGTTTCTTCTTAGAATCACAGTTTGCATGAGTCACTCACTTTATCATCTGCAGAGTCTGTTCATGATGGTACATGTTCTTCTTCATTTGCACATCTGCACAGGTCTTTCAAATGGGGAGAATCTGATCCCCTGCCTTATGAGGTGTATGGCCATGGAACTGTATCACACAAAGGGCTCGTCTACGTCATTGGAGGGAAGTCTGAAAGCAGGTAAGTGCACTACAGGCTTTAAAAGCCCACATTTTTATGATAATGTCGGTAGGAAAAAAAAGAAAAATCATTATTAAACCTCATTCATCATCAGTCTCATAGTTTTATTTTATTATTATTTAATTATTTTGTGTTCTGCGGATTTTGTAACTCAGTTTATAACTTTGGCTAAACAGAACTTTTAAAGTCTGCGGTGGCTGAGCACAATGTTTCATTTTGTTATTTTAATGGGGATCAGACCAAAAACCAACCAACTTAAAAAACAAATAAATAAACAGTCCTGGCTCCTGCAAAATCAAAAACATCAGAAATGAACAGGATTAGAACATATATGACGAAACTTATGCATGAACTCAAATAATCCGTTTAAAAAAGCATATTTTGTCTGTTTGTTTGCACATGCGTGTTTGCGCACGTGTGTGTGTAGGAAGTGCATGAGAAGAGTGTGTGTCTACAATCCCACTAAGTTTGAATGGAAGGACCTGGCCCCTCTGAAAACAGCCCGCTCTCTGTTTGGTATCGCCGTCCACAACGACCAGATCTTTGTGGTCACAGGAGTCACAGACTCAGGCCTCACCAGCTCTGTGGAGGTCTACGACATTGCCAGCAACAAGTGAGACAATGTTTTATTATATATATATATGACTCGCTTTATTACATATATATAACCCGCTTTATCTACTCGTAACAAGGGGAAGCATCTGTCCGCATTAGTGAAATGACTCACTGAGCACAAACAAGAGATCATTAGATCATAAAACGCCACTCGTGGTACTGGTACGGGTGTCATTCAGTATTATTGAAGCTTGTTTAACACCATCACGTCCCCGTGTGTGTTTGTGTCCTTATTGTCCTGTTATTCCAGGTGGTCTGAGTTCACAGAGTTCCCTCAGGAGCGCAGTTCCCTTAATCTGATCTCAATGGGGGGGTTCCTGTACGCTGTGGGCGGCTTTGCCATGATGCCCAGTGAAACCAGTGAGGAGCCCGTCCCAACAGAGATGACTGACATTTGGAGGTGAGAGCCTACTAGACATAACAACTGAATGTAAGGTCACAGAAAAACAAAAGAGGAGGAAAATCACTTTATACACACAAATGATCATTTAGGTGATGAAGGGATTTTAGTGAGCGAATTTTATCCAACAGTAAAGTTTTATTCAGACTCCTTGTAAGAGTTTCAGAGTGAAAGACTGTCTTTAAAGTTTATGAAGTCTGCTGTTACAAAGGCTTATATTAAACATGTCCAAAGTATAAATAATGAAGTCATGTACAAACAATCCTTATGAGCCAAAGCTAGGGATTCGGGCTGCTCTAAACACTCAAATCCAATTGTTGGTGTTTTGTTTTTTCCTTTTCACTCTGCACGATGACGAGAGACGCACAGCCTGATCAGTTTCAATCAACCTGATTGGTTGTAAGCACAGAGGCCCCACTGTCCTGCTGTTCAAAACCTCTGCTTAGGAGGGGCAGCTGATGTGAGACAGGGGAAAGGACACCGAAGGAGCTTGTTTTACATAGTGGATGAACTGACAGGCGACACCAAGGTTCACTATGGGATAAATAAGACCTATACAAATACAACAATTCTGAACAATGCAAAGTTAAAATACAAGAATAATATTCTGGAGTTGTAAATGAGCACAACAGATTTACGTTAAATTCTTATGGTAGTCTGAGAAGCCCGCTGCTGTTACAGGGTCCCAGTGCTCCTGTTTTTCTGTATTTTCAGTAGCATTAACAGACACTTCAGTTAATAGTAAAATGGACATTTCAGTTTATGTTACCATTAGCAGGCATTTCCTTTCGCTGTAACTCATTAAATTAACCTTTAAGCATGTCTTTAAGCATACATGTCTATGCAATTACAGCTTATCTGGTATTTGCTCAAAGATTCTTCATCTTGTTTATAATCTGTACTTATTACTAGGACATTTAATTGCTGATACTTGTCGCCAAGTGCTTGCTCACAGGGGGTCGACTGATTGTTGAGGTTTTCTCTGTATCATTATAGAGTCTTTATAATATAAAGCACCTTAAGGTAACTGTTTTGATTTGGTGCTAAATGAACAAAACTGAATTGAAAGCAATTTTCATCCAACACTTCACAGTGAAGATTATTATTTTAGTGATGTAGGAGAAATCTAAACACACTCCATATTCATGGATTATTTTCCAGGGAATTTTGGTAAATTATAGCAAAGAAATTAATTTTACAATATTTGGACCATTTTATATGTTTTTAAACATTGCTCGAGGTAAGGTTTCAGCAACAAAGCACAATCTGAGCACATCAAATAAGAGCAGAATAGCAGGAAAATCCCTGAATAATTAGTAACCTTCATTTATGTTAAAAATAAAAACATTTGACCTAAACTACAATTTTGACATGTTTTAAAGTTTTGCATCTAAAGCTGGAGGACTTGGACTTGCTAATGATACATAGGCATTGATTAGGATCTTTTCAAAACATTTGTTGTGAGGTATAATAATGGCTGCTGTCTACAGTGCTGTTAATAATAGCTTCATTTGATACACAGCTGTCAGGAATTCCTTTTGTGCCTAATCATTCTGTCTAGATGAAAAATATTGAGATTGCATTGTTATTACTGTATGCTTTCCTAAGATGCTATGAGGGGAACTCAGCTGACTTATTTATCTTCTCTACAGACATGATGAGTCAGACAAGTGCTGGACTGGGATACTGCGTGAGATAAGCTATGCGGAGGGATCTACTATTCTTTCAGCGCGTCTCAACACTCTGCGACTCACCAAGTTATAACTGTACCAAACTGTTGGCGCCATGAGGTGAATCGTAACTTTAGCGCTGTGTTAAACGGATGCACTGATTAGCTGAGGGTCAGAGAATGTTTCAGGGTAAGGAGTGAACGTGGTGCGCGGGGATGGAAAAGTGTTATGAAATAAGCATCAAAAGAGTTTTATCTCTCTTTTGCAGTAGGGGGAGACATATACATGCTGTAGCAGGACACGAGTTAGAACATCGCACAAAAATGTATTTTCTAAAATGCTACAGTGTTCCTTTGTACATGTTTTTGTAATATCATTTCTTGATGTTTATTATCTGTAATGCTTCATTTGAATGGTAATAAAATATCAGATTGTTATCTTGCTTTCAGTGCATGAACAATGCTGGAGCCGTCCTCACAGTGCAAATGATTTTATTCAACTTCATTAAACATTTTGTTCAATAACGTATTTACATGGCAACACAAGAGAGACACTGTCAACTTTACACTGACAGTAAGCAAATATCACGAGTAAGGAAGTACTTTCAAATGTAAACACTTATTTCCAGTTGACACCTGAGCACTAAAGAGCATCACCGTAAAACTCACAAGAAACCAACTCTTTATCCACATCACTAGCTCCCTGTCTGAGGTACTTTTAGGTTAGCTTTACCTCAGTTTCAGTTTACAACACACACACACACACCACAAAAACTGGAACTAAAATAAGCACCAGCATGACTCTGACGGAATCTGACGCCGAACATGTAAGCGTACAAAACTGTTCTGCAGAAAATGCGTGGGCAATGTAAACGTGACGCCAACAATTGTGATGTCTTTTAGCTTTATAAATTGTCAGTGAGCTCCAAAGCCAGGCAGGCGGTGCTCAGCTCTAGCATTTATGTAAACGTGCTCCCCGTAACAGCAGGTGAAATGTTTACCGTGTTAGTCTCACATCTCTCAATTAGCACTAAACAGAAACGACAGCTGAAGCTATAAGTGTTGCCTATATTTGGCCACAAATGAACTAATTTGGCAAAATAAATACTTTGACCTGATTATGAAGAACGTTGAGTAATCATGTTGTTACAACCTGAGGGAAACGTGAATGTCTCAACTAATTTTGATGTACAAGGGGTGATTTTGTTTTTCTAAAACTCCTCACTCATTTACATTGTATTAATCTCTGTTTTAATACATTATTAGGACCGCAGTCAGCTGAGTGGCAGGTCGGTGCCAACAAACTCTCTGCCAGGCCTCACCTCAGCTCATTCAAGTCACTGAAGTGGACGTCTACACCGTGTCTGTGCTGTTGCACAAAGTTCTAACAGACAGTCCAAGAAGTTTCGGTGTATGATATCCTGTTATTATATTTGTACGCCTAACATTCATTTTTATGCATCTCTCTGTGTTATGCATCCACGCGTTTTACAAATGCAACTTGCTAGCAAAGCTTGCTTGCATTAGTTAATAATCCTTGTGTAAATATGGTCACTTCTACCTTCAAAAACCCAACATTGCAACAGCCACAGTTAAAGTTGACACTTCAGAAAAGGAGTTCACAAACCCACAGGCGATGTCACGGTGGCCCCCTCCATCTTTTATATACAGACTATTGTGTGGGACCAGTGGGAAAAGTCTGGGATCCGTGAGCATGCCGATTCATGTTGTAAGTAACAAGATATTTTACAGCTAATGAAAACTTTGACCTGCTTGTCTCACTAGAGAAATAAAATAGATGAATACATTTAAAATAAATGCAGCGGAATAAACTATCCATGCAATCCAGTTAATGGAAGTAAGTTGTTGTTACTGCGTATTTATTTACAGTCTTGTAAGTTGTGGATTAATAGAATACAGCTGGTCCATCTGTTATCTGACTGCGCACTCAGACAAAAACTAAAAGCCTCTGTAATCTGAACTGAATTTCACAAGCAGAAGATTCAGTCTCTCCTCTGGAATGTTAGCTGGCAGTAATTCAGCAGAGTATCCCCTGAATAAAACTGTCATAGGCAGCATTAGGAACCTCCATTGCACTGCCTGTGCTTTAGATTCACAGCAGCCTGACACAGTCAATAAAGCTGCTTCCATTGTTCCCTTAAGCAACATGGGCCATTAGTGGTTGGAGACCTCCTCTGTCACACACCCTTTTGATAAACATCTTGCAGCTTGTCTCTGGTGTTATTGGTCAGAGGACATTGAATTCACTTCAGTGTCCATGAGGGTTAAGAAGAGCTTTCTCTCTGCACGTTACTGTCATTATTGTTACACTGAGGACCGACTTTTTATAACTTGCCTGTAGCCTTTTCCAGTTCCAGATATCAACAAAGCACTAATATGCAGTATGAGCCCATCTGTACATATTTCCACATGACATTGGCTTTCATACAAATATCAGAAACCAGATTGTTGGTGCAGACCTCCCTAGGCCTCTCATTACAGCGGTTTTACCTTTCAATTCTGGCAAGAAAAATTCAGTCTCACTCAATTTTTGACAGGCAATCGCTAAAAATACTCAGTAACCAATATTGATCCTGTGGCAACAGCGTATGCGAGCCACACATTCAGTGCCTAAGGATTTAAATCAAAGAGCGACAGTAACTTTAACTGGATATCAGATGGACGAGAGGCGCTCCTGACACGCAGATGTCCGGCGTGTTGTGGGGCTGCATTTGGTCATCATGGTGATCTGGGTGCTGAAGTTGTTGCCGTTGCTGCCCATGGAGGGCTGCTGGTACTTAGTATCAGCACCCAGAAACCTCTGCAGCATCCACCTGCGCCACTTACGCTTAATCTCCGACTGCACCTGCAGGACAAGCAGAGAGGTAGACAAACAGAACGAGGAGCATCGTTAAGCAGGCATGAAACACGGGATTTAGCTAATTTATCTCAGTGAGCTTTTTTTTGTTAGAATTTACTCACCTCTCCATTTAGAAAGCAGTACAAGACAGCAACCACAAAACCCTGTTGAAGAGATGGGAAAAAACACACTCACACACACTCCGCCCTGTAAGAGCTGTTGTTGCACATAAATATAAGTATGATCGCACAGCTGGGGAAACACTCAAAATACTTGCGTATGAATAATGATGGTAAAATGACGACCAACTTCAGGCTCAGACAGCAAGTTTATCATCCAGATCCCCTGGGAAATGTTCCCAGGAGATATCACTTTGAACTACAACGGTTATAAATTGAGAAAAACTTTCCATTGCACAGCTTCCATCACTGCACTTTGCTCTCAGAGTTTACTTTCAATTTAATGCTCAGCAAACGAGCAAACTCGTTATTCAAGCGTACAAAGTTAAACATGTCAGCAAAACCAAGCATTCATTTGCTCCATCTGACAAACTATCTTCATAAAACTTTGCAATCAAATGAAAGGATGTCCACTTGCGGCAGCGGTTTCGTCTAAAACACAATATTTCAAGCATAAAATCCGCACATTCATCTATAAGTAGTGCTGCCTGCTTCTGTGCACCATTTGGAAAGTGTTGCAGACTTAATGCAGGGACGTTACCTGAAATGACCCGAGAATAAGATCGAACACCATCCTCACTTGTGGGTGAATGTCATCGGGGATGAAAGCAAAAATAATGTAGTTTATGCCAAAGAGAGGAATCAACAACAGAGTTGATTTAGCCAGTCTCCTAAAAACATGAGATGGGAGGAAAAAAAAGTAAAGAGAAAGCTCGTGTTCAGCCGTGTTAAGGTCCACAAAGGCCAGAGTCGAGTATCTGTCACTGTGCAAGAGCTTAGTCAAAATAAAAACCTAACAGCAGCAAAATTAATTAAATTAGCATCACCTGATAAGAAATGACTGCAACCTGCACTATGATCAAGATGCTGACATTTTGCACTGAATACCTACGAGTATTGATTGGACTCCTTTCTTCCAATGTCTGGGCAATTCATCTTCTGCCGTAAAATCCGGATGATACAAATGAAGAGGAAAAAGTTCACCTGCCACGAAAGTAGCAGACTGGTTAATTTTGCATTAAGCTGAGATTGGAATGTTACTCACAAAGAGCTGCACTGACTCACAAGTATGGTGATTAAAATGGGGGTTTTGATGATCCACCAAGGGCCGTCATCAATTGTCTCCCAGCATCTGACAGGAAAAAAGGAAATGCAAACAAGAAGTTCTCAATAAGTGATCATAAAAAAACATCACCGGACTGTAAATAGAGGCAGCAAAATTGCTCCGAAGACCAGCTGTTAATCTTTGTAATGGATGAAAGAAGAGGAGCTTTGACTTTTCATGAAGACTTCTTAAAGAAATTACATGAAAGCTGACTAAGAGTTTGTTCATACCAAATATTGAAAATCATTACAATGATACAAACTCTGGTTTCTTCTTATATTTCCACGGATGTATGCACGCTTCAAAAAGTCGCTGCACTTATTTTCAGAGCAAAATCTAAAGTATGGCTCAAGACTTTTGCACAGAACTGTAATTCTAATATCTGCATCAGTATTGGCTAAGACTTTCACAATCAGTGCATCCCAAATGATAACTTCACTTTAATCAACAAGAAAACATGATGAAGATGAACTCACCCAGGGTGATCTAAAAAAGCCTTCGTTATCGCCCACGCTGAGATAAAGATGGTCGGAGCCCCTGCAGACAAATTACAACACAAACAGAATTACCTCTAAGTTATTTCAACATTAAAATGATCTCTGTTTCTCAGAGAGAAATGATCAGCTCTGTGATTTATTTTATAGATTATTTTATATACTTATTTATTTATCTGTACCACATTTGGGCATGAGCACACTGTTAATCTTATGAATGCGTTTACAGCTGAAGCAATATTGCTTTTTAGCTATGCTTATCATTCTTAACACGACTCATGTGTGCTCTGTGCCAATACTGATTCATCCTGGGTATCTGTGGGAAAGGCTTGTTTCCATTTTCCTGCTTGCAGACACAACATTTCAAGCCTATTTCTAGATTTATTTCACTGTGAAGGGAAAATAAATATTGTTGAATATATACGTCAAAGGCAACTGAAGGATCAAAAGGTAAAATATTTTCAGATTTTAACTGAAAATAAGATGAAACTCCTCAAAGGTTCCACCTAGCAACTTTTTTATGAATATATGAATTTTGATGAAAGCAGGGACACGATTGCTGTTGAAATTGAAATATAGCAGTTCAGGTCTACTTGTTTGATCTCTAAGTTCAGCAAAGAATTTAATTTATTTATATGTTACGTTTGCCATACATACATAAAGCTATTTGCCTTCCAAAAGCATTGCGGGACTCTTTGACTGAATTCTAACAATGAGAACGGGTGCCAGCCGCCTGCTGCTGCTAAACTAAGGAAAACTCATTCATGTGCAGATTGAAAGTTCAGTATTTCTCTGAAGCAGCTGCATGTATCAAACCTCTTTTACATAAAATAATATATACTCCAGTTCCCTCCCATAGTCCCATGATATGCATGTTAGGGTAACTGATGAGTCTAAGTTGGCTGCAAGTATGAAAGTGTGAATGATTTCTGTCTTGGCCCTGTGAAGGCCCAACTACCAGTCCAGGAAGTATCCAGCTTCTTGTAGCCTTATGCCAGCTGCAATAGGCTTCAGTGTCCCGTATATCTCCATGATAAAGCAGATATAAGTAATGGATGGATGGATCCAGTGACTGTAGTAAAGACTAATGAAGGCATTCAGGTTGCCTGATGGCTGCACTGACACTACAGACAAATGGACACATCCGATCCCCTTGCAAATGAGATTCTGAGAGCGACCATGAGAGCTAACACTTACCCCACCCAATGAGGATGTACCACCAGAAGTACTTTCTCTCAGAGAAGAAGGACACAGCTAACAAAGCATGAAGATAGAGGCCCTCCACAAGCAGCCAGAAGTAACTGGCCATGACCCCGTAGTGGAACAAAACCATCACTGCCTTGCATCCCACCTAAAAAACATTAACATGTTATTGGCTTTACCAGAAATGTGCAAATGAATGTAGATACATATATAAATCTATTTCCATTTAAATGATTCAAAAGGTTACTTGAGGACGTTTTTAGCAAACTAATCCCAAGGGCACAAAAAATAGCAATTAAAGGTCAATACACATGTGCTATCTTGTAGTTGGGCTGATTATACTGACAGAGTATTTGACCATTTAGATCTGTAATCTGCAGTAAATGTAACTGAAATCCAAGTTTAAAGCTCCTTGTTGCAATATTAGGAGAAACCACACTGACCCACTGCAATGTCTGCACCATAACTTAAAACTCCAAATGGGAAAATGTTTTCAGGCAAATATTGTTATTGAGTTAAACAGAACTAGAAGAAGCCTAAAATTCCACTCTCACTATCAAGACGGCCTAAAGCTGTTAATCAGCTGAGCTAAGCAAACAACTTAAGGTTAGAGAGCAGGAGCAGGACAGACGGAACAACTGACGGAAAAAGTGTGGACTTTATACCAGTTTTTAAATTGTGTTGATAGGCCACGTAAAACCAGAGTTATGATAAAAATATATGCAATGTTTGGTTTTTTCCTGAATACTGTCGTTGTTTATATTTACTGCAGGAAGAAACGGTAAAAACAGCATTTTATAAGGAAAACGCTTGAAAGCACTCTCCGCCTGTGAGCAAAAACAAAACCAAAAAAACCCCCACTCTTTCCTATTGGTGGAAAAATGTACCATGTCGACCAATCAAAAAATGATATGGCAACATGGCATTTTGTTGTTTAGGAAGGGGGGAGTTTTAGGAGTGACGGCGGTGTTTTGAGATGTGAGAGATTTGCGGACGTTTAGCACAAATCTTGTGTAGTTAGTGTGTAGTCAGTGTGTAGTGTAGTCAGTAGTTTTGCTGTGTGTGTCAGAACAATGAGGCGACTGCTGAATGTTACAGGTGTTACAGCAGTGATACATCTCCTGCTGTCAGGCCTGCAGGTATCAGGCTGTTGTTCTCCTTCATCTCATAGTGGACAGAAATTATTTTTGGAGTGGCACAAATAATTTGTGTGGCATCAGATTTGATGCAGAACAGCTGATTGTTCTGTAAATAGTTTGAAATGTTTATTTAAAAAAATTGCCTTGACTGCATTTTTAGGTAAACAGCTGCAAAACACTTTGTTTGCATAACTCAGTTACTTTTTTGAAGAAGTAACTATATAATTAATTGCCCAACATTTGTCATTATTTACTGTATTTTGCAGACAGAGAGTTACAGGACTCTCTCTCAGACCACAGACTCATTCTCATAATACTGGTCAGAGCTTTATTTTTAAAAAAGAAAAAAAAAAAAGAAAGTTTTGTTTTCAAGATTTTCTTTTGTTTTTTTTTTATTTTCATTGTAAGTGGGCTAAAGCAGGTAATTAAAAGTAGTCTAACATAAATGTAAATGCTGTAATTTGATTATTTTAATAAACCATGTAACTTGGATGGATTCGATGCTGGCGTGACCACAGTGCACACGTCTAATGTTGCTCACAGTGGTCCAAGGGACCGCTCAGGAGGTTTGTGTGTTCGCTCAGACACATGAAAAATTAGAGGGAACATTGGTTATACCTCACAACATAAAGCACTTTCAGCTAATGATTGTGAATTGCAGCTATTGCTAAAAGCATATAATTGAGCAGGTGGCAGAGTGGAGTACCCACACAAGAAAGATGACATCACAACAAGATTTGTAAGCCGATCCATAATGTGTTAGATTAGCTTTTGAGACGAATAAACAGGAAGCACACGTGGGTGCCTGGACCATTATTTCCAAAAGTCTCAGTTTTGTCCTGCTGCATGCACACTTGAACAAGGTTTCAAAACTAAAACCAGCGTTGTTTGCAGAAGTGTCCTAAGATGCTTGTATTAGATATCAAGTTTAAAATAAATCCTTTTTACTGTGGAATTTGCCTTATTGTACAGCAGCAACATATGGTTCAATTCTGATGGCATTATTTACTTAACTTGTCGTTCATATCACGTTAAACACGGCTGCAGAGATGTATTTTTTACCTAAAACATTCACACTTTAAAGGTATATCCAGAGGAAATGCATTGACCTTTAAAAAGATGAGGACAACATAACAGACTAGACATTTTAAACTAGCCAGGCCAGTTTTAGTCCCCGTGGGCCAAGCTAAAAAAATTATAGGATTTGTTTTCTTGTTCAGAACAATGTGAATATTTAACATATTTAACAGACAAAGTACTGTCAGTGTAAAACATTACACAGAACCAGCCTCTCTAACGCTGTCAGGGAGCTTCTGTTCCACTAACATCAGGGTCATTCTCACTTATCTAAGATAAACAATCACACTTGATACACATTAAATGCATATGTTTGCAACTTAGTTTTATTTCAGTGTTATCAAACTATACTGTTGTTCTATTATTTTTCCATGTTCTTCATTGTTATCAAATGTAACATTGCTTGGTACTCTCTGTCCTGCTGGGTTGACGTTATTGGCCCACTCTTCTGTGCAACATTGCTTCAGTTCATTGAAGTTTGCAGGCATTCATTTATGCACAGCTCTCTTAAGGTCCCAGTAGTGCTGTCAGGGTCCTTATACACTGGTAGGATCACGAGAGGATGGGGATTAGTAATCTTTGGTTTCACCCTGGTTTATGACCATGTTTCGGTTTCTGTTTTGCATTTGTAGCTCTCTAGTTCTTCTGGGTTTGTGATTTCTAGTTCTTAGATTTAGTTCTGCCCTCGAGTTTATTCTCTTGTTCCCCAGTCAGTCATGTGTCTGAGTGTACGTGTCGTATTTTCTGTTTTATTTTCATAGTCTGTGTCCTATGTCAGTGTATCTAGTTTTGTCTTCCCTCGGATGGATGACTGAGAACCTTCACAGACATCTTCCCTCGTCTCATTATGTCTGATTTGCCCCAGCTGTGTTTTTTTCCTGCTCTCCATCCTCTCGTGATCCTCCTGTGTATTTTAGTCCTCAGTCTTCCCCTGCTTGTTGTCACGTCGTTACCCTTCACACACCTCCTCAGTGCTGTGCGTTTCCTCTGTGTTCCTAGTCTCCGTAGCTCCTGATTTCTAGTTTAGGTTTCTTGTTTTCCAGTTCCTTGAGTCCTGAGTTTGTTAGCTTTAGTTATTATGCTTCGCTTTTTGTTTTCTGTATTCGCTTTAAGTTTAACCCTCCGTCTGTGAGTCCTGCATTTGGGTCCTCCTTCCTGCCTGCCCCACAGCACTAACCATGACAAGTGCATTTCAGTCAGGTTGAGATCTGAACTGTAATTATTGAAACCTTTTCTTTTTCTGCCATTCTGTTGTAGATTTGTTGCTCTGCTTGGGATCATCATCCTGTTACATGGTCCAGTTTCAGCCAGGCTTCGGCTGTTGGCCTCACATCTGAGTCTAGAATACTTTGACATACAGAGGAGTTCATGGTTGACTCACAGGTCCTGTGGCTGCAAAGCGAGCCGAAATCATAATGCTTCCTCCACCGTGCTTGACAGTTGGTTTTTAAAAGAAAGAGGCCTTGTCCTGACAATACTTGAACCCTGGTTCAGTCCTTTTCTAAATATACTGTCATGAACTTTAACATTTAACACACTAACTGAGGTCTATTGAGTTTAAAATGTAGCCCTTGGATTTTTTGCAGTTTCTGAGCATTGAACAGTCTACCTATCCATGTAATTCCTTCCTTAATTGGAAGCAGTAAGGGTGTAGTTAATTTTTCACACACTGCATCTTGCATTTTGGTTTAAATTGTATTTAATATGTCATGTTTCATATTTCTTCTTAGGTTGTATTTTAAGACCTTCTAAAGACCAGGTTTTTATAATGTCCTGAAATGACATAATTTAAACAGGACATATTTTCAATTTATCAGGTCTGTCTATAGTTAGTTATCCACATAAATGAAGTGGTGACACAACATTTGATTTGTTTCCAGGGTTAGATTAAAACTAGGAATGTGTGTTCTTGCAACTCTCTGTGTTATTTTGCACGAGGTTTTCCGCTTTCACCCCAACTGTATTTTTACAAGCTAAGCAGTGCGCCTTACACCAAGTAAACAAAAGTTTACTCCTTTTGTTTTTGCTTTTTCACTGAGGAGTTTAGAAATCTGTGAGATATTTAGCAGCTGTGTTTAGGTCAGGGCAGCCGGTGTAACCTGAAGGAGAAATGTCTAAACTCAGCCATTAAGCAACAGCACTTAGTGATATAATAAAGCGGGTGATTTACAGCGAGTTGATCCAGTCCTCTCTGGTAATAAAGTGGCAAGAAAGCAGCACTAACGTTGGTGACTTGATCAATCACATAAGAGGGAGCAATGCCACAGCTAGGAGCTTATCTAAATACTTAACTTATCAGTTATGACGTTGTGGCATGTTGTGGTAATAAAGTCAATACAGCACTCTGAATGTGATTTATTGACAAAGCTGTCTGTAGTTCAGGCTTAATGTTCAAGTTCAGGCTTAATGTTTGGCAAACAGGAACTCTCACAACATCCTGGTGCACAGATGAAAAGGGAAACATCATTTTAAGAGCAGAAGTGCCTCAGCAAACACTGCTACACCCAGAACGCTGAGTAAACTTTGAGACAAAGCATTAAAGTCAGAGTGGGAAAGCGGCTGCTGAGCAACGATGCCGAACTTCAGTTAGGCAGAGAGGGAAATCAATTCGCGCAACCAGTTCAATAATAGAAAAATCATCCTGCAGAGCTTTCAGCAGCAAAGAGAAAGGACGGTGAACGGCGTACTCACAGATGCTTGGCAATCTGTCTCGCCGACTTCGTACAGAACCACGTCCTTGATGAAAACAGTCACAGCTTTCAGTATGAAAGACACAAACAGATGCATGTGGATGTAGTTTCTTGTGCACTGCAGCTTCCTGAAGAAGAATACAAATACACAGAAAATGAACAGGCAAAGTACTCCTAATGCATCCCGACTGGTTACAATGAATGAGCTCCTCATGTGTCTCGGAAATCATCAGAAAAAAAGCGTGTATCAAGAGAATATGCACTAGAAACTTCACTGACTTAGTTCAGATGAGCACAGAACAGATGTGCTTTTCAGCTCAGGACAGCAGCCATTCTAAGCACTTAGTGTACACGATTATCGCCTTGTAATTTCCTACCACCGTGCTCTGCTGTGCTGCTATCTAAATGTCACAATTCATTTAAACCCTGCAATTGTCATGAAAGGCTTTCTGCATGTCTCCCACTTTGGATGTAGCTTTTTCAGGGACATAATATTTATCAGGGATGCGGAGCAAGGAAACAAACAAGAACAAATCGGTGTGTAGGGGGAGAGAAGCAGGGGGTGCTGAGAAAATGTCACTAATGTAAATTCTCTCTTTTGCCTGCTTTCAAACAAATACCTTCCCCGTGACACGATGACCTGAGGTGAGTTGCGTAAACGCAGCAGGACAGTTGAGCTGCGATGAAGTATCGCTCAGCTGCATGAACGCCACATCTGCACCCCGACATAAACAGCAGGCGCTGCCAACATCCTGCGTCTCCGCTCCAGAATGCAAACCCGATCGCATGTCAAAAAACCCAAAGAGTAAACAAAGCGCTTGCTGTTTAGCCCGCGACACACAAACAGCCTGAAATGCAAGCACAGCCAGCTGATGTTTATTAGACGCTACACACACTTGCCACTTAAACCTGTTCTAATGATCTACGCCAACAATCACTCACATGCGTTTTTCTCCACGACCTTGTGACCTTAAGGTCAGGACAGAGCATACAGTGAATAACCGATGCTCATCTAAGTGATCTGACTTCACGGTTTGACTTGGTGACTGCTTGCACCCACCCACATTTGGACGACTTCTCCCACTTAATCCAGTTACATTGCTGTTTAAAAAGACTGTAAGACCTCAATAAAATGCAGGAAATGAGAGATCGACGGGGTTTTCTTGCTTTAATAGGTGTTTGATTGTCTTTATGTGGGAACATTAAGCAGTGTTACGATGGATCACCTTACCGGAAGAGACACAATATGACGATAGCGACAGTCAGAGAGATGAGCGACACGCTGTGACCGATGGTGTATCCCACTTTGATGGCGTGGAAGAATACCTCCTGTAACAATACGTTTCAGTACACAGGTCATCAGGTGTGGGACATTTCACTTAAAGTTCCAGTTGCCACACTTACTTCATGGCTATCCATGGTGGTGTTGGGATTATATCCACAGTCTGCTATGTAGGAGTCCATGCTGACTGAGGTCCAACCATCCGCAGTGCAGGTCTTTGACAGGTTACCTAATGAGCAAAGGGACAGAGGAACAACACTGGAAATTATTGATATTTCTTTACGCCGCTCTTCCTGCTATCCTTTAACAGTACAATAAAGTGCTTGTTGAGATGGGAGTTGTAAGAGCTGCAGGGCAGACATACCACTGCATTTAATTAAAACATGCTGAGACTCATGTCTCCCTGGAATACACCCAAATAATCAAAGGAAACAGAATGAATGACTGAAGAGGCTCAGCCGCCCAACTGGCTCAGAGATGCTGAGGCAATTCCCATGTGCACTTGCTTCCATCTGTTTCTTAATTATGTGAAGGCTGTACACACAAACACCAGGTGGCCATCAGTCAAGCAGGGATATTTTGGTCTGTTCTGCCCACAGAGGGCAGAGGTGAAAGGTGCATTTAGACTGACAATTAAAAAACTGCATGACCAAAATACAGTGTTGCAGATTTGCGGTAACAAAAGATAGAACTTTTTAAAATTAAGTGTAGAGTCAAACTTGCGAGAACAATGAAGTAAATGAAATTACAGCAAGATAAAGTAAAGCTTTTTGGGTTAAAGCTGAGTCCAGTAGTTGTCCGGAGTAGCCTACAGCAGGCCAGAGATTTTCTGTATTGGAAGTGCTGAAGATTAGATATGTCTGTAGACATAGATATGTATGTCCTGCTCTACAGGAGAATGGAGCTTAGCTTCGTCACTGCGAGCCTCCAAACATCAAACCGATTTGAGCCTAAACAGAAACACATGAAAGGCAGTCCTGCTTGTGTATTAATCACCAGAGGATGTGGTATAAAACAGATGAAAGAGGCAAAAGTGTGGGCCATAGTCAGGGGTTAAAGTGGGCCTGCATTTTTATATATTTGTTTTATTATTATTATTATTTTTGGCACAACACTGGAACAACTGCAGGTGTCCATAAGTTATGTTTGTGGTACTTCAGCATCTAGCTAGCCCCACAGAAGTGATCTCTTTTAATTCTCAGGTAATTTCAAATCCAACGCTGCTATCAGCTCAACAAACATCAGCAAACACATAAACTGTTTGTGTGCAGTTTGTCTCACAGTGTGTTGCTAGCTAAAGGTCCAGTATTCCTGTGCTGTATTTTACAGGGAGAGAAAAGAAAGAGCTAACTTCACTCAGAGATGGAGAAAGATAAGAAAGACAGAACAGGAAAGGAAGAAGAGGGGTTAAAGATAAGGACTGATCAGTGGTGTTTGATAAACCGGAAATTTAAAGCTTACATGTAAGTTCTCACATTTTTAAATCAGATATCTGGTCTGTACACATAACATTACGTTTTTTCATATTGTGAAACCTGCTGCAAAACAAACTGACGTAGACTCGCTGTGTTATTTAAAGGTTGCATGAAAATCCTCTGCAGAATAAACAGGTTAGTTTGCTGTGAGGGGTTTAAAGTAAAGAACAGTGTGTGACTGGTGCACAGTGGCTGTGGTTTCATGGTCAGAGTTAGGTTACATAAAGTGCAGCAGAGATGAATCTGAAGTTAAGCTGATGATGCTGACATTCATTCAGCGAATTTCACCTTCATACCAATTTTATACCTTCTAGAAAAAAGACAGAATACACACTGTACTGTCAGTGTCGAGGATGGAAATCAGCCAAGACAACTCATAAAACATCTGCTGACATCCAGTTGAAGCAGCAGATCAGCTGATCACAGCCTGTACACTAAGAAAATCTACTGGAGCTCCCAATAGAAATTATTGTGATTTATGATTCTTTTCCCCACACTGAGGCAACTGATTTCAGGGTTCCCCACATGCTGAATCCTCCCATTCAACCTCTTTCATGTTTAGAGGCAACGTCACCCTCTACAATGTAAGAAACACAAAATAGAGCTGTTTTTTCATTTTCTTTCTTTTTCTCTGCTCATGTTCTACTTACCTGATTCAAGCTTTATTAGAATTCAAATTTAGACTGGAATAAAGTTTATATTCACATCTACTAATATTATTTTTTTTTTACAATGATAGAGCACAAGGTTCAGATAGTGTTGCACAAAAATAAGTGGTAGAAATGTTCTTCAAGGAGCTACTTTTCACTTTCTTACTGTGAGTACATTTAAGAGGCTTTCTGGAGTATTTTTAACACTAGTATCTGTACTTCTACGTAAGTATAGAAAGTCTATACCTTTGCAAATCTGCTTAGCTGAGTGCAGGACCCTGCACAGATAAGTGGAGCTCTGTACAGTACAGGTCAGACCTCAGTGCTAGGCAGATTACATCAGAAAGTTTCTATTTCCGAAGTTTTGTGGAAAAACAAAAGCAAAAACAATTGAAAAGGCCTCTTTTTGGGTCCTATTTACGTCCTCTACACTTGTTGCATATGTAATAGAAAGGCAGAATATGTGGCATATGATACAGAGAGGATTTAGATTTTTACAGTGTGACGAAAGCTAGAAATGGATCCATGAACTAATTAGACCTGAAAACTCATGTCCCTCCCTTCATGAGCATCTAATCTTGAAGCATGGATTGACTGCTCTGTGCTTTTTGTTCAGTCTCTTATTATGTCATACTTCTTTCCTCATCTCCCTTCCTACCAGTAAAGAATGGAAGCTCCGTGATCTGGTGACAAATTAATCCACGTCCTGAATGCTGCTGTGGAAATCAACATGTAGGACATTCCACACATTGCGTAATCGTATCACTCCGCAGCCGCTATCAAATCAGCACCGAGTTGGGAAATGACCAACAAGCCAAAGTCTTAGAATGTATTTGGCACCAAAATTTGGTTCGCTCACAAATACCTGAGCAGCGTAATGCAGAGAAGACGGAGGCTTAGCTTCCTCAAACAACATGACAAGACACAAAGGCGAAGCTAAGCCCCTGCTGTTTCAGCCCATGCCACCACTGGATTTAGCCTGTTTGAGGGATTGCCAGAAGAATGCTTTCATCATTCCCCAAAACATGACTGCAAGGATTTTCAGTGTTCAAGTTCATCACCCCATAATCATTTTTATTTTCTTTTTACTTCTTGGCTTTTCCCTCCAGTATTGTACAGTCAAAGCCTTATCCTATCTAAGTATATCCAAATGTTTGATCCATAGTATTATTATAAATCAACTTCATGTCAAATTCACATTGCAGCATGTAGGTGAACCTGTTGACAGCTGGGCACTCTGTCATTCTCAGCCTGTAGAGAGGGTGAGCGCTATTAAAAGAGATGAATGGCTGCATGTTTGTGTTAGATCTGCTAGGTAAAGAGTTCATGAGAATGGCAACTCTGTCTCAACTAAATTTATGACCCCGAATCTCTATGGCGCCATGTTTCGCAATGCTTGTTTTTGTGTGTGAGGCTTATAAAATGAATAGCATGGGATGTGTCAATACCTTCAGTCTTTTGCAACGATTCTCAGGAGTGAGGTTAAATTAGACTTCATGACATTCTGTGAAACACGCTTACAAAGAAGAATGTATGCATCGTGTGTCTGTAACCTGCCGAGGCCTTAAAGAGCTTTCGACAACTAAATAACAGGAAAAATACACAGTGGTTCAATGACGTAAACTTTTTTTTTCCTGCTTTCTTGCACAGAAAGTGATGCACGTTCATCATCACTTCAGTAGTCCTTCTTTCAGGACCTGAATGTAGACCAGGTTTAACCATCAGACACCTGTGCTGATAAGGTGATTTGCTGCATAATTGATATGGTCCACATCAATGCAGCACAACACTGCACAGAGGGGGCTGTTGATCCTGTAAACCTCCTGACATGTCTGTGAAATATGCCTCCTCTGACTTCAACCCCACAGATCCAGTGATTCTTCATCTGCCCCGTCTTTTCCCTGGAGTGCTATCCGCTCTCATATCATACTATCTCCCATCTGGGCCACATAACAGCTTCCCACACAACCTTTCTTCCCCTTACTGAGTGTTCATGTAGCTGATATTTACTCGACGGTACAAAATGTTCTAATGTACCCTGCATAATCCGCAAGTACTGGCTAGATTACAGCTATAGGACCTCCTTTCCAGGTTCAGTATATGATACAAGCAGTGTTTTCATTAACAAGTACGAGTGCAGGTGCGCTACACCTGTGGCAGCTCGTTTATTTTGCTCCCCACCTTTTTTAAATGTCAGGTGTTATATATATATATTTACAGTATATGCAGCTGCTGACAGGGTAAGACTTTTGGCACACCCATCAAATATTGGCAAACATACCTCAACGTCTGTTCCAGACTGTTGGACAACATTTCAGGAAACCTGCAATTCAACCCGGAGATGGTAGCAAGACATCGCACGCCATTATCCGGTTAAAGAACCGGATAATGGCTCTGGGGTTAAATGTGGGCGTAGCAAATATGCTGTACTGAAAAGTGTCCTGTACATTCCCAAAGACAAGCAGTGCACATAGAACAGAGCTCAGACTATGTACCACTATGAAAGTGGGTAATACATGGGTGGATTCATATGTGTTGTTCAGTCTGGATTTTCATTATTTGATCCTGTTGACCAAAACAATTCACTTTTATGATATTATTATTACAGCTATACATCTATCTATACAAAATATCCAAAAGTGCTATTAGTCAAATTCATCTTTAATTAACGACTGAAGTGCACTCGGAGCAGGGGAGTCAGGATATTATGGGTAGTACTAACATGATATCAAATTTGAATTTTCAAATATTATGTTTACTGCTGTAGACTGACCATGCATAACATTATGAGCACTGACATCATCATTCATAAAGTGAATAACACTGGTCATCTATTCTTCGTGGCTCCTGTTAGTAGGTGGGATATATTAGGGAGCAAGAGAACATTTTGTCCTCAAATCGTAAGGATTTGAGTGAGTTTGACAAGGGCCAGATTATGATGGCTAGACGACTGAACGTCAGAACATCTCCAAAAGTGCAGCTCTTGTGAGGTGTTCCTGGTCTGCGGTGGTTAGTCTCTTTCACAAGTGGTCCAAGGAAGAAACAGTGGTGAACCTGCGACAGGGTCATGGATGACCAAGGGTTATTGATGCACGTGGGGACAACAGATGACCTACGGAAGCTCAGACTGCCCAAAAAGTTTATGTTGGTTATGATAGAAAGGTGTCAGAATACACAGACATCAGTCGTTGTGTATAGGCTGTAAACTGCCAACAATGGCCACGCGAGCACCACAACTGGACCATGGAGCAATGGAAGAAGGTGACCTTAACTGAATAACTTTCTTTTACATCACGTGGATGACTGATACGTGTGTGTCGCTTACCTGGAGAACACCTGGAACCAGGATGAATTATGGGAAGAAGGCAAGCCAGCAGATGCAGTATGATGGTTTGGGCAATGTTCTGCTGGGAAACTTTGGGTCCTGACATCCATGTGGATGTTACTTTGACACGTACTACCTATCAAACCATTCTTGGAGACCATGTGCACCCTTTCATGGAAACTGTATCCCCTGATAGCTGTGGCTGAAAGCAGAAATGGTTCAGGAACGGTTTGATGAGCACAACATGTTTGAGGTGTTGACTTGGCCAGATCTCAATCCAAACTAGCATCTTTGGGAGGCGCTGGACAAACAAGTCTGATCCATGGAGGCTCCAGCTCACAACTTACAGGACTTAAAGGATCTGTTGCTAACGTCGATGGTTCAGGGTTGTTTTGGCAGCATAAGGGGGACCAACACAATACTAGACCGGTGGTCATAATGTTATGTCTGATCGGTGTATAGCGTCTCCTTTAGTGCTACAACTTGGCCACTATGTTCAAAATATAGAAGGGAGAGGTTTATTCATATGTTTTCACTGTCCAGCTAACGGACCAACCACAACTTTACAAACACGAATAAATCAAGAAAATATTATTTATGAAAACAAACAGCTCAAACATGCAGCTTTGTTGTCACCGCCAATAAATATTACACAAAGCGTGGTAAATTTAGCCACTGCAAACTTCTTCTTTTTTTATGATTAGCATAGCTTTATAAAGAGCCACACCTGGGATTTTACAGCTATGGCTGTTTGTACCTGATACATTTCTCAAGGCTCCAATTTTAAATTAAAGCCCCTTTGCCAGTCAACTACAAATAAACATCTCCATCAACTCTCCATTAACTGAGGAGACGCTACGTGGCGATTATTGACAAATGGAGATGTTGAGGAAACTCGAAGGGGTACATTCCCAGGAACTACTGTACAGACATGGTGCAATTCAGCCAGAAAATTCCCAGGATAGTGTTTTCCTTTACAGATAATTAGCACAACTTCCCTGTTAGGCTTTCACCAAATAAAGAACAAATAACCAGTGTGGCTCTTTAATGAGTGTATGGCGTCTACATGGGAAGTTGTTATCTTGTTTCCTGCTACTGTTTTGAATTTTATTGTATTATTTATGATATTCAAGATGTGGTGGTAGAAAAGATAAGAGATTGTAGGGCCAAAATAGCATCATGAGTATGAGCCACTAGGACACTCCATAATTTCTATTTCTGGTCTCAGATATGGAGCGTGATGATACTGGCACAGGCTCAATAGCAGGGATATTTGGAACAATAAAAACAAAATGGAAGTTAAGGAGGGATCGAGATGAGCAGCACGCCAGCATCTCTCTGATTCATTTTAATATCCCATGCTTAACTCATGTTTCCATGAATACACATTTAATTTCAGGTTAATCTCAGACTCATGGATACAGACATAAAAAAGAAAAATGGCATTACGAGGCTTAGTAATCATGTGATGTACTATTTATAGGCTGTTTAAGACTGAAATTGTTTTTATTATCTTGAATGTGGCATGTTTGCCAAACTACATTAAAATTCTCAGATAGATTCGTTATTTTTTAGAGACTTTAAAGCATCTTAGCAACTAGGTGACTATTCACAGGCCACTTTATTAGATACACCTTGCTAGTACCAGGCCGGACCCCCTTTTCCCTTCAGAACTGCTTTAATTGTCAGTGGCACAAGCTGAACAAGATGCTGGGAACATTCCTCAGTGATTTTGGTCCATATTGACACCATAGCTGCTCGTGCATGACATGAATCTTCTGTTCACCTACATTACCTACTATTGATTGACATGTAGTAATGGTGGAGGGCATTTTAATACAGTGAATTCACTGTCATGTTCAAGAAACCAGTTTGAAATGATCTGAGCTTTGTGACGAGCCAAGAAAATGTCCTCCATCCCACTGTACCATCGCCAGCCTGAACTGTTGACTTGCATGTTGTCTTCACCAAATTCTGACCCTGCCATCTGAATGCTGCAGCAAAAATCAAAGCTTTATCAGACCAGGCAACATTTTTCCAATCTTCTGTTGTCCAATTTTTTTCAAGCCTGTGCAAAGTGTAGTCTCAGTTTCCTGTTCTTAGCTGACAGAAGTGGCACCGGGTCTTCTCCTGCTTTAGCCCATCTGCTTTCCAGAGCGGCAATTTGTGCTTTCTGAGATTCTCATATGCACACCTTGGTTACAACAATAGTGCCATGGTGGTGGGGTGGAAAGCACTGTTCTCTCACAGAAAGGAGGTCAAAAGTTCAAAGCCACTAGCCTCTTGGGGCCTTTCTGTGTGTACCTGCAAGGATACTTTCTGGCTTCCTCCCACAGCCCCAAAACATGGTAGTTTAGTTGGAGATTCTAAATTACAATCAAGAACATTAAGAGTAAACTGGATGAGATGAAGGCAAATTATTCTTTAACCTGAGGCTACTCTGACAACAGCCAGAAATACAAAACATAAAGGCTTTGAAATTCAAAATTGGTCAACAGGTTTGTGGCCCTGTAACATCAACCACTGCAATAAAGATCATTGACATATTACTACGTTATACACAAAGTTAGCGAATGATAGCAAACCATTGCATTCTGCAGATACTGAGTTCTGTTTCCGTCTGCATGACGAAAGTAAAACCAATATTTTCTGTCCTCTGAGCTTGATTTTGGTCTTCGCAATTCTGGGGGAAATTTCCTCAGACTGTTTCTACGTTCTGCTACTGGGGACTGAATGGATGATAAATCTGTGCATTCATTTGCTACAGGTAACGTTTTTTTACTTTTATGACTTGATATTAGATTTGTTGTTTATATCAAAAGATGACTTAGAGCAGCTTTAACTCTGCTTGTAAATATTTTTTTAAGTCACAGATATATTTAAGAAATCACTGAGGTGCATGTTCAGTGTTGTCCGTCTGTCTGTCTGCAAGATTACTCATCCATGAAGCTTGATGGAAAGGTGAAGCAAGTATAAAGAAACTGCCCTTTAATTTAGTGCTGATGCTGATACCTTTGCAAAAATGGGCATTTTGAGACCTTCTATAACTTCTCTATGTATTTACCAATAGGTGTCAGTGACTTTCCACCACAAATGTATGGATTCTACCATGTGCTTTCACTTTTTCTAGTCCAATAACTAAATACTAACTTATTACTGTAACCTTCTAAGAGTAAAATTAACTAATGTGCTTTTTCTCTTCTAACTCTCTTTAAAACACACACCTATATGCAACGTATATTGCAAGCTTGATTCTTACGTTCGCGATCATCCTCGGAGTGAAAGAAGAGAAATTTGGGGCAAAGGATGGTTACCACCTCTCCCACATCAGCACTGGGCCAGCAGGTGATTTTGTCCCAGATCCTACTGCAACCTAGAGAGAGACAAAGAAGGAGAGGGACCAAAAACAAGCATGTTACCTAAACTCACATGCCCAAAGATAGAGAGAAACTTAATTTTGCTCACATTTTGCTCAGTGTTTCACACATGAATCCCCTCAAGTGGGAAACAGCAGCCTGTTTAAGGTGAAGGCGGAGCACTGGCGTTCCCATGGCAGCCAATACGTGTGAGTTTAGGTCAGCTGGCATTACAGCCATGCTGGGCCCATAACAGCAGATGACCTGAGTTAACATGCTGTCACGATGACTAATAAAAAAGCTCTGTGCCCTTCGTTACACGCTGTTATTTGAATTCAACAGATCTCCGTGTCTTTCCACAGTGTGTATCCTCCCGGGATGCACAATCGGCTCACGCCACTTTCACAGCGCACCTGCTCAACAGTTTGTCGCAATGAAAAATCTCCTTACCAGGGTACATTTGCACGATTACCCTGAGGATCTGACAACATTTAAACCTATTGCAAATTTAAATTAAAAACATAATGAGAGTTTAACCCCTTAGCAGTCCTACAAATTTACAATTAGTCCCCTAAACCATCCAATGTACCGTGGGCGGTACGTCCGACTGCTAACAGGTTAATTACTTTTGCATTGCGTGGAAACAAACAGAGTCCCATAATGCCTCCAACAGTGTTTCAGTCACTCACAGAGGCTCTATGAAACACAACTATCTTTATGTACACACTGTGTATAATGTGCTGCAAAAAAACAAAAGCATAAAAAAAACTACAGATCAGGTGAGCTTCACTGTTGCACTGTAAAAGCATTTGTTAATAGCATTTCTTTTAAATGAAAAACGGGATCAGTTTTCTCTGTAACTGAATCTGCATATGTGACAAGGGGCTGACATTAGGTGGAAAACAGTGTTCAATCATGCAAGGTGTAATCTAAAGCCAGACGGGAGGCTTGGACAGCTTTTGTTGTCTTTGGAGTTCACTGTGTCACTTCAATCAGAGCTCACTTGTATCATTAGTGAATTAAGATGAGACAGAATAAGTAGCTCGTGGTAAACACATACGAAGCATCTGACATACCTGTTGTTCTGTTTTCAATCTGAGCCTCGCATATGATCCTCTCCTTATCGATTTCATTCATCATGTCGCACATCTGTGTGGCCACTGCAAACACCTGTGAAGAGAGTATTTGCATGTATTTTACATACTTCTCTTTGGCCAGTGGTCGCCTTTTAAAAAGTGTTAGCAGCACTGACAGGGTGCAGGTGCATGCAAAAAAAAACTTCGGCACCATTTGACAAATCGTTAATCTTTAAAGGAAATGTTGTTGCAAAGTTTTTTTTCATGAACTTCAAAAAGTGAATCTTTAACTTTGACGCGTGAGATGACCCGTTCCATTATATCCCTCATTCCTCATGATGTACTGGGAATTATGAAGTGATTCGGTGTGAAATATGAGGATTTACCATTGGGACGTATACAGACCATCTGCAGGAGGAGAAGATTTACTGCTCTTACTTGGATATATGAGTTTCCTCTCTATCGCATTAATCAGTCGGTATTCTGTGGCTATTGTTAGCCATGAAATGAGCCCATAGGACTCCAGTTTCTCTCCATACAGAAGATGACTTCCTCATTTAGATTATGATTTATCTTGCACCTGCAGGCTCTGCAGCATCACTTCACCCATGATGATGGCCAGACAACAGGTTGTCATTAACCAATCAGTGCAGCCTTAAGCAAGTTGGAAAGGGGGAAACTTTCACCAGCCTAATCATCGTTCTTATTATCAAACTCATGTGCTAAAGAGCCCAACAGTCTGTGAGTTTGCACAGATGATGATGTGCAGGTGTTCTATAGTAGGGGATTTTATCTAAATTCCAGTATGATTCATACATGCTTCTCTACATTAGACAGTTTGAAGAGAATCGTGGTGAGGACCAGAGAGGCTGCAGAGACAGACAAATGGGGACGTTACCATGGTGTCCTGAAGGGAAACCAAGTTCATTGTTTCGCCTGGTAATGCATCTTAACCTTGGTCATAAAAGGACAATGAATGTCCCTCAATAACGATCCCAGTCAAGGACCACCGTTTTGTTTGCTGCTGAAAAGAGAAACCTGGAGCGAAGAACTATCTGAACTTGAACTTCGTTCCATAAATTTAGGTTTAAAAAGAAAAAAAAAACCCTTAAAAAAAACACCCAAATTAGTCCCGTCATCCACACATGCTAAACGGAATTAAGTTGCACACGGGGGCACAGCGGTGCGCCCTGCATCCACACCTCTGGAGGACCGCATGCGTATCAGCCCTAAACCCGTTTGCTGGCTTATCGCAGTGACCTGCGTGGTCAAGCTTACGCTGCTAAATCAGGCAAGCAGCTGTGGCACTCTTGACAGCGAGCCCAAGATCAGGTCATGAGAAAAGTCAAGTTTTTAAGCGGAGTGTACTCACGGGTTCCAGCAACACGCAGGAGAACAGGAGGAAAATGCCATTTGAAAATCCCACCAACATATCCAGTGAAATATATAAACCATTAAAAAATAGTTTTAGGAAGAAAAAAAATTGGTGACAGTACAATGAGAATCCGTCCCAGGACTGCAAGAGTGCACCGGCTGGTTTTGTGCGGTCTTGCGCTCTGAGCGGCGTGAACTGCTCCGCTCCTGAAGTCTCCCTCCTCCTCCTCCTGCTCCCCCACCCCCTCCCACACAGGATTTACCTTGAACAGCCAACGAGTAACCAATGAAACATCACCTGTGAACGTCAGTACACGAGGGCGTTGACGCCTACAAAGAAAAAAGATTCAATTTACTGTATTTGTCGATTCAAATGAAGAAAACAATAAAAGTACTTTTAAACTGTGGCTGAACTCTCAATGACACCGTAAAAACGGGATATGACAGAAAGAGCTTTATCCCACTTAAGAACTGTAGACTTTTGAGAGACTTCTACTGTAGTTGTATTTATATTTTTGTTTTGTCTTTTAGACTATGTCATACAGATTGGGGGCAGTCAGGGGCTGTCATTATTTAGCAGGAAGATTTTGTCAGAGGTGGGGATCCCATAGAAACTGCATCCATGGAGAAGTTAAAATACAGCAGCTTGCGTAGTACTGAATGTTTTCCTTCTGCTCTCATGATTTTTTATTTTATTTATTTATTTTTTGCATAAACTAACTAACCTGACCTTTAGGGCATCGCCAGCTGGAGGGATGGCAAAGAACTGGTAGAACTACTGTAGCAGGTGAATCCAGGCAATTTGAAACTCATATATATTTTCCACATTGCACAAGTCACAGTGACAGAGCTGCACAAAAGGATCTGTAAGGACCAATAAACAAGACTCACCAGCCTGTAATCTAACTCTGATCAAACTTAACAGCAGTTAAAATTGTGTTGCATGCTTGTAGCTTTCAAAGTGTTTCCTCTGACTTTAGTAAAGTAAGAGAGCTGCATGCAATTACCCATGTTGCATGGTTGCAGTTACTTCATTAATTATTAATGACCATTAATTATTCCCAGCATGAAGACAAAAATTAGCATATCAAAAACCAGTGCCTCCATACTTTGTTGTCATGTTTGAAAGCGGGTTTCCAACCACAACCAGCATCTTCCATTAACTTGTTTTTAACTCGATGGAGTTTGGTTGTGGTAGTTTTGAGAAAGTAAAGGATAGTAACTGATAGTCCATCAAAAATGAATAGTAAAGTTATTGTCATTAAGGTGACTAACAACAATGTGACACAGTCATAGAATGGGTCACTAGTTTCACTGCATTAGGACGTCACATCTGTAGCCCAACTAAGGCCATGCTAGAGTCATCCACCCATCCATCCAATCATCCATCCACCCATCCATCCAATCATCCATCCAATCATCCATCCATCTTCTCCTGTTTATCCAATTCAGGGACCTGAAGCTTGTCCCATGGGACGAGTGGAAGGGGCAATTCTGCACTGTCACCGCTCTATCATAGGTCACTTTAGAACCATCCATGCTTGTTTTCTTAAAAAAACAAACAGAAGAGCATAAAGACATTCACATGACCTCTTTATTTACACACATAAAAATGATTTTGTTAGTTCCTGGAAATGAAGCCTGTCATAGCCGGCACACTGTTCCTAGATAAGATTCAGTAAACAGTCAAAGAATAGAGCTCATATGCATGTGAATGTGATTACAGCATGCTGTATTGAATGCCCTCAAAGGATTGGAGATGAACGGTGCAGACTGAAAACATGAAGAATACTCACTGCTGGTATCAAAACCAGAGACCAAGGCCTTACTTTAAATGTGCAGACTCTTCCAGTGGCACCACATGCTTTACTGTGTTTTTTAGTGTGTCCTTTACTTGTCTGGTTTTACTATCAGGAGGTGACTCACAAAGGCTTATGAAAGCTTTGATTGATGCCAGAATAACCTTCCTCTGGAAGAAAAAGCAACATATTGGGGCTTTTGAGTTCTGATAGGTAAGGCCTGTGGAATTTTAGAGACGATAGAAAGCTTTTTTGATTTTGAGCCTTTGGTGTTTATCAGGTTTGGGCTACGTCAGAAGCTGTGTACAGTCATGTTGCTAAACAGAAAGCATTTCAGATAGCTCATTTGTCAGAAATGTGATGAATTATTAATACCTCTCTCATCGTAGTGACAAGTGGTTTCATTAGAGCAGTCATTTTGCCACTTTCCTAAACATGCTGACAGCAGTCGTCTTTCATTGCTGTTGTCTTGCAAATTAAAAGCACCTTTTGTCATAAGCCCCGATTCTCTGTTTCTTTTTGTTGGCTCACAGTAAAGAGACATCGTACAGGTTTGTGCTATCAAGCAGCCCAACAGCATCTTGTGCAAAACCTAAACGTGACGTCAGGGTGAAATATGATGACAATCAGAATCCTCATTTGCTGCCATGAAAGCAACAATTGCTCAAAATTAAAGTGGGAGTTGGTTACTGCAGATAATTGCTATGTAAACTGCTGGCTTTAACACACAAGCTGAAACATAACTCCTCGCAAGCAGCCTGTGAGGTTCATTTAATACTGATACAGACTTAAGCTGTCAGTTAACACCTTGAATATTTAACCCAGTCAGTGATGGTAATTATAAAGATACACCAGAGTCATTAGGTTGAAATTATGATGGGCAGCAGGGAAACTAAAAGCAATATAAATCTGTTTATGAGTGCACTATGACGGAACTTTATTAATTAATCATCAGAAAGTGTGAGCACCTCTATGAAAGATGTTTTGGCAATTAGTTGATCGGGAGCATTCAGGTGTATGTTAACACAGTGCCAACGAAGAAAGACGGTAGCAAAGATCCCAGAGAAGCAACCTCGGAAGGATTATAAAGCCACTTCCAAACAATCTAAAGTCCCTAATTCTACAGTGAGCAGAGTATTTACATGTGAAAACAGACAGCTGTTAATCTACCCAGGAACCTCACAGCAGATTCACACCAAGGTCAGAGAAATGTCAAAAAAACCCAAGAGCTCCATCTCAGACTCTCTAAATGGTAAATGGCCTGTATTTGTATAGCGCTTTACTAGTCCCTAAGGACCTCAAAGCGCTTTACACATTCAGTCATCCACCCATTCACACACTGGTGATGACAAGCTACATTGTAGCCACAGCCACCCTGGGGCGCACTGACAGAGGCAAGGCTGCAAGGCACAGGTCTCTGACCACCACCACCATCTGCACAAGAGCTAAAGCTTGGCTGAAATTGGATCATGAAACATGACAAGGACAGTTTTTTACACATTGCTTCAGATTTGTTTTCATTAAGGTCAAAGAGTTTGATCTTTGTTTTATTAGACCGGTTATTTTGTTTCTCATGGTTTGAGAGTCCTTCAGGTGCCTTTTGACAACCTCGGGTGGACTGTTATGTGCCTTTTACTGAGCAGTGACTTCTGTCTGGCCACTGTACCATGGTCGTCCTTCGTCGACCTTCTGGAAGGTGTTCCTCTCTCCAGAGAACAATGCTGGAGCTCTGTCAGAGAGACCATCAAGTTCTTGGTCACTTCCCTGACGAAGGTCCTTCTCTCCAATCACTCAGACTGGCCCGACGGCCAGCTCTAGGAAGAGACCTGGTGACTCCTAACTTCCTCCATTAACAGATGATAGAGGCCACTGTGCTCATTGAGAACTTCATTGCAGCAGACATTTTTCTGTACTCTTCACCAGATCTCAGTGGAAACTGCTCTCAGATCAGTGCACCTGAGTTCAAGTTTGACTGTCATGGCACAAGCTATGAATACTTATCTGCATGTTATATTTTTCTTCTTCATTAAACTTGTGTGTAATTTTGAGATGAAAAAGAATTTTGGATTAAGGCTGTAACACCACAGAATTTGGAACAAGTGAAGCGCTGTGAATACTTTCTGCATACACTGTATGTAAAAATTCTGAAATCATGGAGGATTCATTCTCTTTTTACCATGACTGCAACTACATACCAAATGGATTTGCACTAAATTGCATAAAGATATGCATGGCCCCAGAAGACGGAGAACACTATTCTGGGAATCTTCCTCTGATGTATGATTTGATGATTTGATGTGGGATTTGTTAAACAGGATGGCACAGGTGGGAAAAGTCATGACAAAGTCATGTGGGCGAGGGCACTTTGGGACACACAATCTCAATTGTAAATAATTAACACAAAGCTTTTGTTCACATTTTCTATTTAATGTCCTATACAGTAGCTTTATTTACAATTAAGGAAGCCATCTTTCCATGTTCTGTTCCCCTTTACTTTACTACAGCCTTATATAAAGACAGAGAGAGTTTTGGGAGGGCGGCACCAGGAGGCTGTTTCAGGTAATCAGACAAGTGCTCATTTATTGTAATGCTGTTTGGCTGGAGAACAACTGTGTGCCAGAACCGATCTGTGTGTGAAAATACTCACCTAAATAATAAATTGAACAATAAATCAGAGCATTAGTAAGTCTGTAAAAATCTTGTTTTGACTAATGAATTCTGAAGGTTCCAAAGCTACGTCCATCAAAAATCCAGCTGAAGGCCTAACAAGGGCATTGTGAGCAACACTGACATCAGCATGCAAATGAAAGCATCACCAAGACATACAACAGCTTTGCAGAGCTCTTGCATGATTGGGAATTTTTTATCACTACAAAACTGATATCACATAATTTCTGGTTATTTTAAGCGGAAATATTATAAATAGTAACAGCAGGAAATAAACAACCACACCGGCTGCCATGAAACAGTGTGTCTCCTACCAGTTCTCACTTTCCAGTGAAAGGAAAAGCCAAAGGGTGTGTGCAACTTTAAAACAAATATTAGAGGATTTAGTGATATGAAAGTAAGCTAGCAGAATTCTGGAACACTTTCTGCTCTTTAAATAAGAACTGCAACTAATCATTAGCCAAAGACGAGATTATGTCTGACTTTTTATTTTGACCGGACTGCACCATTCCTTTTTTAAAACGTCTTCATTCCCACAGAGCCAAAGCAGTTCAGGTTCACAGTTTTCATCCAGTTTTGTAACTTAATCAGTTATCTGTACCCACTGCTGCCATGAGAGCGGTGCGGCGGTGCCACTACATCTGTTTGATTGGTGTTCCAACAATGTGAAAATTGACGTCACTTCTGCAAGATGAATGCCATTTTTCTGCTTTCAGTGGGCAGTCAAGGACAGAC